TCTTTAACATACTTATCATTGTTATTTTTAGGTCCTCGTCTGATAATTCCAAAATCTGTGTCGTCTATGGGTCTATTTCTATGACTGATTTTTCTCTTGATTATGGATCATACTTTTCTATTTCTTTACATCTTTAGTAGTTTTTTATGGTTTATTAGACATTTTGGATGATATGTTATAGAGAGTTAATATTCTGTTATCCTCCTTTTATAAGTATTGAGTTTTATTGTAACAGGCAAAGAAATTATTGATGGTTCACCTTGATCATGTGGAGGCTTGATTTTAGGTTTTATTAGGGTAGCTGTATTTTGGTTTTGTTCCTAATTTTAGTGCAGTCCCCTAGTCCTGAGATATAGTTTTTATCCCTAAGACTTGGCCCTTTGAGAGTTTCCATGGAAAGGTCAGGTTGTTTATCAAGTCCCTCTTACTTGGTGAGGTTCAAACTCCAAACTCTGTCTCCCCTGCGGTGGGCAGCTGCTGAAACCTCTGCTCAGGTTCTTTGGTGTTCCAGCTGCTATTCCCCCAGGCTCCTTTGAGCTCACTCTGCAAATGCATACTTCAGGGCTTAGGCAAGAATGGAAAGGGAGTTTATACACAGATTTGGGGCTCCTCTCTGTGACTTCTTCAATTAGGGGTTATCCCACTCAATTTCCAAGCACTCTGGCAGCCTCAAACTGACCCTCATTTTCTGCTGATTTTCTGCTTGGGTTCTACCTGTCTGCCCTGTGCCCTGCAGACCAGGGAGTGCCCCCAAGGGAAAACCCATTTAAATGCAGATTTTACTTAATGTGGTGCCCTTCATCCAAGGATAAAACCTCTCCAGTTTCTGAAAGCACTCTTAGGTGCTTTCCAACTTTTTTTTAAAAAAGTGTTTCCCCAACATTTATAATTGTTATCAGCAGGAAGACCAGTGCAAGAGAACCTACTCTGCCATTTTCAAAAGCCCATACCTTGATAAGTAGAAGCAAGTTCAATGCTATCCATTTTCCCAATCTTTTCTTTTATGGTTTATCATATTTTTAAGCTTTCTTTAAGAAATCCTTTCCTATCCCAAAGTCATAAATATAGCTTGTATATTTTGTCCTAAAACTATTTTTTCTTAAGTACTTTTTTCATAATTTGGTCTTTCACTCACTTTGATTTCATTTTTTGTGCATGGTTTAAAATGAAGATCCAATTTTATTTCATTTTTTCCAAAGCAGATAAATTTTCCCAGGACCATTACTGAAGAATCTATTCTTTCCCCTCTAGCTCATGAAGCCTACTCTGTCATAAATGTAGTCTCATATATATCTCAGTCTG